CACTCAGCACCATCTCTGGGAAGCCTGCCCCGATTTCTCCCGTCTCAGTTGGGGCCCCACTCAGCACCATCTCTGGGAAGCCTGCCCCGATTTCTCCCATCTCAGTTGGGGCCCCTGATAAAACCCACAGTGCGCTGTTTGTGTTTCTTCTGCACTTTTCTGCAGGGACTTTGAGGACGGGGCTGTGTCTTACATTTTCGCCCATTGGCATGACACCCTTGGGAAATACTGGTTGAATAAGGAATAAATGAACACCCTAGGGCCTTCATACTTGCTGTTCTTTCAGCCTGGAACAGCTTGGTCTTAGATGTGTATCTGTCTAACTTTCCCTCAGAGAGGTGCTCCGAGCCCATTTTAACCTAAACAGCACCCCTGCCCCTCTGTTTCCCCTTCCCCACCCTTCATCATAGCACAGACCACCACCTGGTGTTCTGTTGCTTCACTTATTCTTTATAAGTGGTTAAAGTACTTATTCATATTTATAAGTAAAGTTCATTTATTACCAGTTACTATGTAGTACTTATCATTTACATATTCATAGAAATATATATTCGCATGTAGATAGTCTTTCTCTTTCACTAGAACTGAAGCTTCTGAGTGAATGTGGGGACTGGGTTTTCTTCATGATTCCTTGTCCCCCAGGGGCCCCAGTGAACATTGGCTTAGTCAGCCAGTGGAACCAGACACGGAACTCCAGGTGCGACCAGGCCCAGGCTGAGTACTACAGGAACACTCCTCTCTTTTTCCTGGGATTCTCACTGGCCTCCCAGGGACATTTTACACCACCCTGGCTGCTGCAGTCAACAGGAAGCTCTGGTCTGAAGCGATTACTGTGGACATTTTCAGTGACTTATGTCCAGATTTCAGGCCAGTCCCTGGGGATTTTGAAAACGGAAGGTTGTCTTTGGACCCACTTCTGGTTCCTATTTTTTTTTTTCTCTATTCTCGGTTCTCTTTGTTCTCATGCCGCCCCTCTGTATTTCCTCCCTGGTCATCACCATCCTTTCTCTTTCATCATTTGTACCGAAACCAAGAGAATGTTAGTGTACCCTAAATTTATCCAGAGATTTTCCCCCTCCGAGACTACAGCCCAGCTAAGCAGGACAGTGCAAAAGGGCGGTAAGGGTCCCTGCAAACACATTTATACTATAAACAGAAAACTCACTGAAGAGTTATGAAAATGATTTTCCGGCTCGGTGCCTGTGGCTCAAGTGGCTAAGGTGCCAGCCACATACACCTAAGGTGGCGGGTTTGAATCCAGCCCAGGCCTGCCAAACAACAATGATGGCTGCAACCAAAAAATGGCCAGGCATTGTGGCAGGTGCCTGTAGTCCCAGCTATTTGGGAGGCTGAGGCAGAAGACTTGCTTGAGCCCAGGAGTTGGAGGTTACTGTGAGCTGTGATGCCACAGCACTCTACGCAGGGGGATAGCTTGAGGCTCTGTCTCAAAAAAAAGAAAATGATTTTCCCAAATCTATTAAGAGTAGAGTAGAAATGTCTTAACACAATAATTAAGTAAGGGTGGTAAAGGCTATGTTAACGAGTTTGATGTAAACATTCCAAATTGTATATAAAATCAGCACATTGTACTCCATAAATGCATTAATGTACATAGTGATGATTTAATAAAAAAATTTGTTAAGAGGAAAAAAAAGAGAAGAAATTTTTCTTTTTTTCCCCCATGACAAAGCATGCTTTTAGAAAATACAAGAAGAAAAATAAAACCCAGAAAAACAAACAAAATCAAAAACCCATAACAAAGAAAACAATCTTTCAACCCAGAGATAGCCAAAGTTAACCAGAGTTGCATATATATTTGGGGGTGAGCCTGATTATTTGAAATATGTATTCTCTGTCATCTTTTAGTTTGTAACTTTTCAATTACAGAAGTAATCACGGGCATTGTAATTTTATGATGTAATTTCAGACAGTATTAAGGTGTAGAAAGTGAAGAGTGAAAGTGTCTGGCCTTCCCCATTCAGATGTCATTCCCGAGGTGCTTCTGTTGGCTGGCGGTGTCACAGAGTTTAGATCCCTCGGGTCCAGATCAGTTCATTTGGGTCCTTGAGGAATTATAGACCGTCCTTTTGGACGTGCGTCATTAATGATACTTTTTCACTGGAGGAGAATCTGGTTGGCTGAATTTTCAGACCACTGGGTTCCATCAATATCCAGTCTTTTCTTAACTGATGTCAGGTGAGTTTTTTTCTCACCTTGAGAGGGAAGCTGTGTGGGTTCTTTGTAAAGAAAGTAAGAATCTCCGTTCATAGGGCTAATACTAATGTGTTCAACTGGTTTCCTCTTTTGCGGTTGACAGCCCAGCATATTTGTGGTTATCAAGTGGTCAGTTTTATTTATTTATTTATTTTGAGACAGAGGCTGACTTTGTTGCCCTGGGTAGAATACCATGGCATCATAGCTCACAGCAACCTCAAACTCTTGGGCTTAAGTGATTCTCTTGCTTTAACCTCTCAAGTAGCTGGGACTATAGGCACCCGCCACGATGCCTGGCTATTTTTAGAGACAAGGTCTCCCTCTGGCTCAGGCTGGTCTTGAATTTGTGAGCTCAGGCAATCCATCTGACTCAGCTTCCCAGAGTGCTAGGATTACAGGCATGAGCCACCACGCCTGACCAGTGGTCAGCTTTAAGTGTTTGCTCTTGCTTTCTTTATTTTGTTTCCTTTCCGGAGATAGAGTCTCTGTCTTGCCACCTGGGCTAGAGTGCAGTAGCCTAATCATATAGCTCACTACAACCTCAAACTCCTGAGCTCAAGAGACCTTCCTACCCCAGCCTCCTGAAGTGCTGAGATTACAGGTGTAAGCCACCATGCTCGGCCTGTAAGTTATGTCTCACTTTGAGGGGGGTTCTCCTCTGCCCCTTGCAGACACCCCATCCATCAATCTCATGCTCTGTGAACTGGTGTCGTGCGGATGTGTGGTCCTCTCCACTGTGCGCTCTGTGACCTGGTGTC